CATCACATGTTTTTAGTTTTAATTGTCCCTCCTTTATTATACTCTTTTAAAAGCAAACTTGACATCTATCTATTTTATCATTTTGCAGATCACCGCACCACAGAAAGACCACAAAAAACCAGTATCCAAAAAAGGACCATGCCAATTTGTGTTCTTCTTTGGAACAAAGAATTTGTAAGTTGAATTTTTCTGTTTCTAAGTATCATTTTTGTTACTATTTTTTCTTTGCTTCTTACTCATATGTTTTGAATCTCATTTCCAGTGCATGGATTGAAGAAGTGAATATTAAGCCATACCTGTCTCATAAAGAAGAGCTTGTGAAAGCAAATAAGTCTGCACCATTTAAAGAGGCTATTGAGGAAATTGAGAACTTCAGAAAGGGGAATGGAACTGTAAGTATTCTTTTGATGAACATCAGAAAATTGGCAAAGTTCAGTTTTTAATTACGCACCTATACGATAGTACATGATGCTAGGTTTCTAGAGCCAGATAGTTCTTCCTTACTGCATATTTATATCATTATCAAGTGACCTGTTTCTATTTATCTAGCATCTATTGACTTCAATCATTGTTACGCTTTGACTATCTGTAGCATTGCCGAATGTTCCTATGTACTCATTTATAAATAAATAAATTAATTGTTAATTTGTTTCTCCTAGGAATCTTTTGATGTCCCTGAAGCTGTAGATGAATTTGATCGTCTGAAAGAGTCAAGTGTCAAGAAGGAACCTAAGTCTTCTATTGTGAGAAAGGTTAGTGAAATCAACACCATTATTCTCTTACTTCATTTTGTCTTTTTGTCATTATTTCCCACTCTTTGTCTTAGAATCATGCCAACAAAGCACCAAAGCGATCATCCCCCACCATATCATCATCTGGCCCTGGTCGTAAGAAGGCAAGAACTACCTCTTCTGAAGATGAACAAGATGAAGTGGCTAGCAAACGATCAAGTCGGAGTGAAGAAAATAGTGTTGGCAACCATAGCACTCCTGCCCGTAAAGGTGTTGGAGTTGCATCAATTTTAGATCGCCCTTTTACCGCCATGCGACCAGTATGTATTCTTTTTAAGTTGAGCTACAGTTGTCCTATTCCAATTCCTTACTTAAACTTTGAAACATTTGTTCTTTGTAGGTCACTCCCACCCTAGATCTGTCTAATGTTTCTAAAATATTGAAAGAAAAGAATATTAATCCATCTCAGCTGAAATTCGGTTTCCTTGGCCTTGGAATCATGGGTTCTGGAATGGTGAAGAATTTGATCAACTCTGGACACAATGTCATTGTATGGAATCGATCTCCGGATAAGGTGAGTCCATTTTTTTCATATATCTCTATCTTTATTAGTGCGCACTTGAGTCACGGGTAAAGGTTCCCCACTTCAGAATTTGCTGCAATCACATTGCAACAATTATTCTTAAGGGTAAATTGAAAGCTAGGGGTTGGTCTTCAATCATGCATATTGGGAATCCTCCGCATTTCTAGAACATTTCAGTCTTGTTGGGTATGACTTATGTTGGTCTTTGTCATTGTGCATACTGTGTTCAGGTTTTTGGATGGATTAGACACACACATTTCAACATTTTAACAATACTTTGTTTAATTGAAGCTTGAATTTACATTTAATGTGACAGCAGTTGAACGTATATATACTTCTTTCCTAAACAAACATGATTCTTATCACACATGTCTACATTATAATTAATAGTGGAAACAGTCAACTTCCTCTTACTATAGTGACTCTGCTGATCAGTTGTTAAAAAACTAAAGTCAATCATTTAATATCAGTTACTGGTAAAACATAGCAAAGGATTAGACATCTCATTTAACTAAGCCTAGAACCAAACAAGTTACTATCTCAGATATATGTAGTAAAGAGCACTTATCTCATACTTTCCCTCAAATGTCTTTCTTACTACAATCAAAAATTTACACTGATTCCGCTAACAAGGCAAGTCTTACTTTGAATAGCTACATGACAACAAGTCATTAATTATAACAATCCGTTAAAATATAACATGAGAAAAATTATAATCTATCTTCAATTCAAAAATTTAAGTGTCCTTAATTCACTAAATGGAAGTGATAAGCTTATCTGGTCTTGCTGGACACTCAGGAACAGGTACACACATTTCTATCTATTTTCACAATAGCTCTCTGTATTACTAATTTATTCAATCAAAACCTCAATATTATGAGCTTTTCTTAGACTTCAAGTTAAGAATTTTCTACATGGAAGCAGACGCTAGGTAACACTTGCTTTGCTCAGAAGGTAAAGGCTTAACACCAATTGCAGAGCAAGTATTTGGCTCAAGAGCATATTGTATCACAAAGCTAGTCATCTAGAATACTCGAAGATATGAAATTATCAAACACTAATTATAATTATAACTACCTTGTGTTTTTAGAGCCCTTTGCCCTATGTTCAACCTTATTTGCTGCTTTACAACAGGAAAGCATTTTTCTATCTTGTCTGGCTCAGCAAAGTGTCTGAAAGGTGGCAAACTTGTACCATTGGTTTGAGGCACAGTAGGTATTTGTCTAAAATGGAGAAACAATTAACTTCCCCATTGCTGTGTTCATTTGTCTTATCTTTTCATACAGAGAGTTCTAACAAATTGAAACTTAATTTCTTAACCCTTACCACTTTAACAATAGTAATTTATCAGGTCAGACTTCTACTCAGTATTTGAGCTTTCAGGAGGAATTCTCTTTTTAAAGGAATAACTTGATTTAATAATCACAAACTTGTATTTTCACACATTTAATACAAACCCATATGCTCATTATATCACAGCTGAATTTAATTTAAATCAAGTTATTGGCACACGCTACAGGGCAGTCTCATGGGCAGCCTGTGTTGATGGGCTATCAGGTTCCTGGTCCATCTGAATTCGGCACGAGTTTGAATCAATGTCTGAGGGTTTCTCATGGATGGCCACAGCATGGCCATTCTGATTCGAGTAGTCCCCAGCACTGGCATTGTTGTCCACAGGCTTGCCCTTGAAGCTGTGTTTCCCTGGGATTTGCCTTGATATGCTAGTATCGCCATTGATTGACCTAACTCCACCGGCACTTGCACTTCGGTTGTGTGCTTTGCTCTTACCCTTCCCCTTGCTTGGAACTGCCTGGTTGAATTCGGGAAGACTTGAACTGGGCACAAGTGCTGAGGGTGGAGCTTCACGCACTTCATGTTCACGATTAATATAATCACGTAATTGTCTCTCTAAAGTCTTTTCTAAACACTGGAACACTGCTCGCTGGTTATCACTGGTGGGTGGAAATCCAAAGCGGAAGTTGGGCTGCTTACTGGAAGAACGCGACATTGGTGAAAAATATGGAGACTTCAGGGGCTCCATACTTGGATCTTGAAGTTCTGACTGCTCTGATGGGGTGTAGTAGATAGATAGTCTACTTAATGTGTCATCTGCTGTGCAACCCTCACCATTTAGCATCCCGGGATACATATGTTTCTTCATGTAGATGTCAATATTATTGAAGTCTACTTCAAAGACACCAGACTCAGTCTTTCCGCAGGATCCACTTCTGCAGTTGTCCAGGTACAAACTAGGCAGTGTCTCCATTAATTTTCCAATAGTCGCTTGTTGGTATTTGTAAGATTCTCTGAATCGCAGAATTTGGTGGGAACTGAACTTTCTTATTCGATTTCTTTGGAACACATAGTTTTCTTTAACCCAGTTCAACTGTCCAGCAGAGTATTCACGTACTCTCTTTATCTGCAAGTAATAATGTTTCTATTAAGTTAAAATGTTTTCATTTTTTATTTCAAAGCTGGAAATGCTGTTGAGCATACCTGATCACAATATTGATCTCTCATTGATGTCAAGTGATGAGTCCCAAAATCTCTGAAATCTTTCAAATGTTGAACCTGGCCCTGGTAGCTCTCTCGTATCCATTCTACTTGCTGAGCACAGTTTTCTTTTATTCTGTGAACCTGTAGTTTCAAAATAGTTATTATGCTGTGCATTTTTTATTCTTACATCAAATCATGATGAAGTGCATCTTACCTGGTTTGTGTAATTCTCCTTTAACTTATCAAGTTGTTGAGTCTTGTACTGCTCAATACTTTCAAGCATCTGATAGACTTGCCTTCCTTTTGGAGAAACTTGGTCCTTCTTGCAGCAAGCAAAACATGCAAATCTAGAAGTGGGGAAAAATCATTTCTAATTAAAATATGATCTCAAAACTTAATTATTTTGTAATCAAAATCATAATATCATACTACATACATATGAATAAAGCGTCTCAAGAGATTGATCAGAAGGCTGAAGCCCAGGAAGAAAGCTGCTGTGGCGATTCCGACTGCTATGCTGATAAGCTTTTCTTCATGCATGGTGATGGGGTCAATCATCAGACGAATATGTGATGTGGCATTGGCCATGGGATTAGATGCATGACAGGTGTAGAGACCAGCATCTGCCCGTGTGATGTTGGCGACGAGTAGACTTCCATTCTCCATCACATGAATTTTAGGCAGTACTTTTTCTATAGGGGTCATGTCTGGGTAGTGGGCAGGTGGATGCTTGTTGAATTCGTCAGGTATTGCAGGGTTGGGATTGTAGTGGAAAGTCAGTCCTGAAGGTGCAACCCATGTTATTGAGGGTGGAGGATAGCCAGAGTAAATGCACTCAAGGAGGACTGATGATTTTAAAAGATACTTGTTTTCAGGAGTTTTAGAAATTAGTTCTGGTCTTTTACAGTCCAAACCCCTTAAAGTGGGCACAAAACTTAAACCCCTTAATGAGAAAAGGGTGCTTGCACAACGCAGATTTGACCTTTTAAAACTCATGTTTTTGTTAGACTCTAGCCAGGATGGAAACCAAACCATACGGCAGTCGCACATCCAAGGGTTTTGACTAAGATCCAGATTTGTCAAATTAGTGATGCTGCTCAAAGAATTAGGTAGAGTAGTTAAATTATTTCTACTAAGGTCAATTTCTTTTAATCTTTTTAACCCCGTAAACACTGCATCCCCTATTTTCTCTAAATGTATATTGTTTTTCATACTTAATGAATTAAGATTTCTCAAAATTTGCAAGGTATTCTCATGCACTGTCTCTATATCAGTAATGTCAACACCTAAAGTTTCTATCAAAGGGGTATATTGAAATAGGTTTACTTCTAAATATTGTAGAGGATTGTCACTAAGATTAAGCCAGCGTAACTGGGTAAGTCCCTTAAAGGCATCGGACTGCAAGTTATACAGTGAATTACTTGCCAAATTTAAGTACTGTAATTTGGTTAGGTCTTTAAACAAGTTCCTTGGCAATTCTGTCAAAGAGTTATTGACTAGGTTAAGTGATTTGAGATCATAAAGGTGAATGAATGAAAGATTTGATAATCTTGATATAAGATTATTGTGCAGTCCTATTGAATTAATTCGCCTATTGAGCACAAATACATCACCTTGTATTTCATTTATTCTATTTAAGGATAGGTCTAAACTATAAAGGTCTTTAAGTGGAGCTAACGCATGGAAGGGGATAGATGATAAATAGTTATCTGCCAAATATAGTTCAGTTACATAGTGATTGTTCATGAACAACCCATGTGGAAGAAAAGTTAAGGCATTGTAAGATAAATTTAGTGACTTGAGAGAAGTTAAATGCTGCAAAGCTCCTTCATCCATAGATGTTATGGCATTGTTGCTGAGATCTAGGTGTATTAAGCTATGAAGATTTGCAAAGAGCTCAGAAGTTACTTCAGTGATTTGACTGTTTTGCCATGACAAATATCTAACGGATGTTGCCCTTATAATTACTGGTTTCTGGAAGTCGTCATGGGTCATGAAATTATATGATATTGAAATGGCCTGGGAAGGCAAGAAAAGTGCAGATGTTGTGGAGTTCCGACACTCCAAATGCAAAGTGCCCTCGTGGGTGCACACACATGAAGCGGGACAGGAGCCATTATATGGCCGGGGACTGGAATGTTGTGGGGAAGAAGTAGCGTATTTAGTGATCAGGATCAGGAATGTGCAAGCGACAATCCAGATCTTGTTGAGGTTTTTCATCTTTCACAGTAGTGCATTATCATGTTAGAGCAAGGAGCCTGCAAGAAACAGAGAACAATATTTGTTAACACTTGGATCTATACGATGCATTTACCCTCTCACTAACTCTGCTCAGGGCCCCTTATGTAAATGTTCTGCCTGCATTGCAAAACTTTGCTTGGTTAGCTCACCCGCCAGATCCCGTGAGACCTGACCTAGAAGGTGGCCGGGACATTCACTGTCCCCGGTAAAGCTGCTGTGCCTGCCTCACCTTGCTAGCCCGGGACCGTCTCTTCTTAGTCTATCTCGTAGCGCCTGCCTCCATGGCCGGGGGCTCAGCGCGGAGCAGCGTATGGACGAGTTTTGGTGGGGCTTAAGTCCCTGGAGAGACCTGGCTAGGCCTGCCGCTGCACCTCTCTAAGGGGCTGCACGGGGTGCTGGCGGTGCGCTCGAAGACGCTGGACCTTGCAGATGCTGGAGGAGGCCGCCTGGGCGAACGACGGGCATGGCGGGGCCAACTTAGCTCGCGAACGGCAAACGGAAAATCGGCGGTCCGCGGGGCTGTCCAACGCCAGTGCTCATCGGAGCGCTGTCCCCGTGCAAGATGGCTCCGGCTCTGCTGCTGTTCAGCTCGGCATCGACCCGCTTCCCCTTCTCCTCTCCTTCCTCCCCCCTCCGCGTGCCTGTTCGTCGGACGTTGCCGCACGTCCGCGCCGAACTGAACCCGAACCCACCACGGTGACGGTTAGGGGGAAGAGGGGGGGGGGGGGACTTCGGCTCGGCGGGCGGCGCGGCCGCGACGGCCCGCAACGGCGCGCATGCGCGCAGGGCCGCGCCGCGCTCGGGCGCGCACCCTGCGGGCCCTACGGCCCCTACGGCCCCTGGAAGGTTCGGCCGGCTGCTGTACTCTTGACCCAAAAGGTTCGAATACGCGCCGGACCGCTGTCTGTTGGACTAAGAGGGAGAGGAAGGGTAGGGAGAGGATGTCCTGTGCGGGCGGGGCGTGGAGGGTGGCCGGCCAAGCTGGTGTACAGGGGCACTGGGTGGGCTGTTCGCGGCTGTGCTGTCCCTCCCGGTCCCTCCCCAACCCAGCAGCCCCCGTCCGCGCCGGCCGGCCGAGGAGCCGCGCACTCATCGACAGCTGTGTAGACTGTCTACTGTACTGCACTC